CATGGATGTTAAATGTTATTATATTATGGTCACTATTTCCAAGTGGTCCTGTTATTATTACCTCTTGGACCAGCTCCTGTGCTCCACTCAGGACTAAATCTAGAGTTGCCTCTCCCCTTGTAGGTTCCCGTACCAGCTGCTCCAAGAAGCAGTCATTTAAAGTATCGAGAAATTCTGTGTCTGCATTTTGTCCTGAGGTGACATGTTCCCAGTCAATATGGGGATAATTGAAATCCCCCACTATTATTGAGTTCTTAATTTTGATAGCCTCTCTAATTTCCCTTAGCATTTCATCATCACTATCACTGTCCTGGTCAGGTGGTCGATAATAGATCCCTAATGTTATATTCTTATTAGAGCATGAAATTACTATCCATAGAGATTCTATGGAGCATGTGGATTTACTTAAGATTTTTACTTCATTTGATTCTACATTCTCTTTCACATATAGTGCCACTCCCCCCCCCCCCCCCCGCACGACCTGTTCTGTCCTTCCGATATATTTAGGGTGACCAGATGTCCCGATTTTATAGGCACAGTCCTGATTTTTGGGGCTCTTATATAGGCTCCTATAACCCCCCACCCCCGTCCTGATTTTTCACACTTGCTGTCTGGTCACCCTAGATATATTTTGTACCCTGGAATGATTGTGTCCCATTGATTGTCCTCAGTCCACCAGGTTTCTGTGATGCCTATTATATCAATATCCTCCTTTATCACGAGGCACTCTAGTTCACCCATCTTATTATTTAGACTTCTAGCATTTGTGTACAAGCACTTTAAAAACTTGTCACTGTTTATTTGTCTGCCCTTTTCTGATGTGTTAGATTCTTTATGTGAATGTTTCTCGTCTGATCTGGCCCTTACGTTATCCTCTTCCATCCTCTGTTCCTGACTATAACCTAGAGAATCTCTATCAATAGACTCTCCTCTAAGAGAAGTCTCTGTCCGATCCACATGCTCCTCTGCAGCAGTCGGCTTTCCCCCATCTCCTAGTTTAAAAACTGCTCTACAACCTTTTTAATGTTTAGTGCCAGCAGTCTGGTTCCACTTTGGTTTAGGTGGAGCCCATCTCTCCTGTATAGGCTCCCCCCATCCCAAAAGTTTCCCCAGTTCCTAATGAATCTAAACTCCTCCTCTCTACACCATCGTCTCATCCACGCATTGAGACTCTGAAGCTCTGCCTGCTTACCTGGCCCTGCGGGTGGAACTGGGAGCATTTCTGAGAATGCCACCATAGAGGTCCTGGATTTCAGTTTCTTCCCTAGCAGCCTAAATTTGGCCTCCAGGACGTCTCTCCTACTCTTCCCTATGTCATTGGTACTTACATGTACCACGACCTCCGGCTCCTCCCCAGCACTACACATAAGTCTGTCTAGATGCCTCGAGAGATCCGCAACCTTCGCACCAGGCAGGCAAGTCACCATACGGTTCTCCCGGTCATCACAAATCCAGCTATGTTTCTAATGATCGAATCTCCCATTACTAACACCTGCCTTTTCCTAGTAACTGGAGTTCCCTCCTCCGGAGTGGTAACCTCAGTGCGAGAGGATACCCCAACACCAGCTGGAAGGAAGGTCCCAACTATGGGAAGGTTTCCCTCTGCTCCCGTAGACTGCTCTGCTTCCCTGGGCCTTCCATCCTCCTCAACAGCGCAGGGGCTGTCTGACGGGAGGTGGGACAATTCTACAGTGTCCTGGAAAGCCTCATCAACATACCTCTCTCTGCCTCCCTTAGCTCCTTCAGTTCCACCACCCTGGCCTCCAAAGCCCATACGCTGTCTCTGAGGGCCAGGAGCTCCTTGCACCGCTTGCATACATACACCACCCGCCCACAGGGCAGGTAATCATACATGCCGCACTCAGCGCAATGCACTGGATAGCCTCCACTCTGCTGCTGGGCTTCTGCCTGCATTGTCTCCTAGTTAATGAAGGGGTTGTTTAAAGCAAGAAGTTTTGACTGTAGTTTAGTTTATAGGTTTTAAAACAAAAACAACAGCAAGGGGCCCTTGCCCCCTTCCCGCTCCCCTTCCAAACTCCCTTGCGAAACTCTGTTAGCAGCCCCGGGTCGCTTGCGCACTGCTTTATAAAGCCCTGGCCTGCTTGATAGCCCCACCCACTGACTAAGGCTCAGCCAATTAACAGAGGCTTCTAGCTTTCAAACCTTCCTTTGAAGCTCACAGCTTCCAACTGCCAGCCACAGCACACGGTCCTACAAACAAACAAACAAACAAACAGACGGACAAACACAAGCTCAGCACACAGCGAGTAACCCCCAAACACAAACAAACACACTACAGACAGTCACTTACCCCAAGGGTGTTGTATTTGCTCCTCCTTCACCTGGAGAACTCCGTTGCGAAACTCCCTGTTAGCCTGCGAAACTCCCTGTTAGCTAAAGCTCTGCTTTAGATTCAGTTTACAAACAGAAAACACCAAGTAACCATTTTGTGTCCAATTTTTCTCTTACCCTCTCCTCCCCCCACACTGCTAATAAAAAACTCTTCAGGAAATTAAAAAATGATGGTGGAAAAGAAGAACAGGAATGGATAATTCATATGGGATTAAGTTTTCAGCCTGTCTTACAACTGCCTCTGTACAATCACATTTGTACAAGGAAAAAATCAGAGGCCAGGGGAGATGTGGCTTCAAGTTCACACAGGCATTTAAATGATCTACACATCTGTAAAATGGAGATAATGATCTAGACACTATTCAGAGAACATCAGGGTTGGAAGGGACCTCAGGAAGTCATCTAGTCCAACCCCCTGCTCTATGCAGGACCAATCCCCAGACAGATTTTTGTCCCAGATCCCTAAATGGCCCTCTCAAGGATTGAACTCACAACCCTCTGTTTAGCAGGCCAATGCTGATCTATACCTTCTTTGCAAAGTGCTTTGAGATCTCCTGATAAAAAGTGCTGTAAGAGCTATTAGAAATTTAACTTTTTAAAATTAGGTATTATCCACTCATGCAGTCTTCCCTATTTCACTGACTTTGCTTTTTAAAAAGAAATCTCTCAGTTGTAATGCACAGCATTGCCTTTTTAATATTGTATGGTAAAAACTTGGAAACAGTTCATTCACGCCACACATTTTCCTTGGCAAATGGGGTGAGGGGCAAGGAGGGGAAACTAAGTACCTTGTTGCAGAATTTGAGCTTTCATTAAAAAAAAAAAAGTTAAATTTCTAACTCTCACTGTAATGAAGACAATTTTCCAAATGGAAAATAGTGCTGCCTGCCCCAAGTCTGCAGACAGCCCAGTGCCTCTCTATAAGCTCATAGTTTCCCCCAAGCATAAGAGTGAATTGATGAGATTCAGGCCATGTCTTCACTATGGAGCTAAATCAGCGCTTCTTTAGCGGGTGTGGTGAAGATGTGCTAAATGGATGGGAGAGTGCTCTTCCGTTGATTTCTGTACTCCACCTCTCCGAGAAAAGTAAGGGAAGTCAGCGGGAGAGCATATTCACCTAACTAAAGTAGCATAACTTAGATTGATTTACTATGGTAGTGTAGACCTGGCCTCCGGTTCCCTTCACTGCTACTATTCAGTAGCCTCTGGGTGCCAGTGACACTGACATGAAGTAATTGATTTCAATCTCTTTCAACCCATTGCTGCTTTGGAATCAAGAGTGTGGCAGCAGCATAAAGCAGGAGCTATTCAGGAGGCAGAAGGATACAAACAATTGAGGCTGGGGCGAGGGGTGGAAGAGACCACCTACCTACTTCCATCACCCAGACAATAAAGATTGGGCACTCCTGGATAGGCGGCAGAGTGTTTTTCACTTTTAAAGCCACCATCCCCAGCTGTTGAATGTATTAAGTAGTTGATATGAGAGAATTCCCCCTGACAAGCAGGGCCTAGGACAGGCCTGTGGTAGGACTCTAGCAGCTGTTTAAGGATGGAGATGGGGAGAGAGACTGGGTCACTGGAGTATTTGTTGATAGCGCCCTTTTCCTCCCAAATTTTTCCAATCTATTCCTGACTAGGTGTCTGGTATACTTCTCAAGGCCTGTGCACTGATGAAGTGGAAAGTATTAGAAATGTAACTCATGAGAGGTATTACTCACTACTGCATATGAGGAGAAATTCAAAGACAGCGTGTCCTTTTACTAGGCAAAATTATGTAATAGGTCTATTAATATGACTCTCAAGAGTTCAAAGGAAATTTGGTTGGAAAACAGACAGATGTTTCTAAGTATTAATTTTGGAACATAAGTAGTGTCTCTCGAGACCATATTTAATGTACTTATTACCCAATTTGCTTTTATGAAATGACCCCAACAAAGACTGCCGAAGCGTTCCCATGAGTTCTATACAAGACTACAGGTTTATGGAACAGATTGCTTTTTAATTATTTGGACTTTCATAGATATTTTAGCAGATACTCCTGGGTTAGAGTTACCCCTGTTGGTGCAGGATTGGAAATTCTGATTCCACCATGTCTAAGAGGGTAGCTGTCCTGGAGAGGGAGTTTTGCTGGGGATCCACAGAAGCCTGCCAGTACAGATTCCTAGGGGATGTACCGAAAATACTGCATATCTTGGGTTCCTAAATGCTGTATTGTCCCAGGCCAAGCTCCATTTGTTGGCTAGCACAGCCCACAGTTCTAAGACCCCCAAGGCAGAGGGAGAGAGTACAAACAGTTTGTTCTGCAAGCAAGGCTGCAGATTTTGTGTTGCCAGGAACCTGCAGTCTACATTATCCCAGCAGAAGCTAAAACAAATCTAGTCCATAGGCTTAAATGGCTGCGTACATGGAACTGGGTTGACAACAGTTTGCCACTATTTGTTATTTTCTGCCGTATGCTAAGCTAACATTTTTCCCATGTGAAAATCAAATTATAGCCAATGACAGGTGTTGACTCCCAGAAGAGCCGTTTGGGCACAAGCATTCCCAACGGAAAAGGTACAAGCAGGAGCCTGAAGTATACGCCAGCTTCACCTTTCTGCTAAATTAGCGTTCTGTTAAAAAAACCAAACAAATAATATTTTGAGGTTTCAGAATTTTTAATGTAATACCGCTTGACAGCATACAGTGCTGATATGCTAAAATACTCAATTCATGTTTCCTCAACGGAAACTTAAACTTAACAGACTCTGTAATTCATAGCTTACAAACAGCATTATTCATACAAAAAGCTGTGGAGATGACGATGACATTTCTCTAGAGTATAATTGTAAGTAGATAATTTTCAGAATGTTTGGGAAACATATTCAGTCTATGATTCTGTGTATTAAGAATGGAACCCAAAACTATCAACAAAATGTGTGGTTACTTGATTTTCCAGATTTAGTGCATATTTAAAAAAAAAAGTGAATTAACCATGAATCAATTACAGACTAAAAAAAAAGCACATAATCACCACCTCTTTTGGGAAAGCAGCCTGGTTTTTATAGTAATTTATTGCTAAAGTAATACCACCCATAAAATATGAGCTCATCATACCCAAGACCTTACTATATATTTGAAGCCAGTAAATCAAAGTCAGCTTTGCTTGCTGAGTTTGATTATGGTATTTGACAGCTCTGGAGACGGGATTCCTTCATTTATCCACACACAAGGTAAATCACAGGCAGCAATTATTAAAGCGTCTTCATATTGCCCTGCCAAATGTGCCTCAAACCTAAGGGACAAGCCTCTATGGTTAAGTCTCCATGTCCAATCTGTCTGTTTTCTCTGCTAAGGTTGCCACTATGTGTATAGCCTCAGCCATCCACAACAGAGCTACTACATTTACTTCACTGGGGCTATGCTATTAAGGATCTGGTGCAAAGATGCCCATTACTTTCAACTGTGACAGGATTCCTGACCACTACACGTCTTCAACCAACCATTTGATTTCCACTTATGCCACTGATGAGGCAGATATAATTCAAACAAATAGCGTAGAGAAGAAAAAATGCTTTTCCTTATCAATTCTCCCCCTACCTCATTGACTTTCATTTCCCTCCTCTATCTTCAATTACAAATATAAAGTAACTGGCTAATTTGCCTAGAGGCTGATCAAACAGATATGACAAAAATTAGATTTTATAAATATGCAACCCTTTGACAACAGAAGGAAGAGAAGGTTTTACAGCCTGCTTATTTGACACAAAATGATTCCTTGGTGTTTTAAACATTAGGCACCGTAAAATAGTTTCAGACACCTTAATGCATGTATACCATGCTTTGGCCACACTGGTATAGCACCATCTCTTGAAAAGACACTTAGCTTTTAATATATACATTTGCATGCAAATGTATAAGAACTTAAACTTTAGGATAGCATTCTCACAACAAAGTCTGCTTAAATTATGTAAAAAATTTAAATATTGTAAACCAAAGGCAAAAGGAGTCTTTTTTTATGACCAACAATATCATATTTCTGTTCATTCAAAAATGTGCAGTGCAGGAAATCTTTGGTTTTTCAACAGAATTCATTCCAACTTCCTTTCATTTTTACATGGTTACATCGTCTTTTAGGCCATAACACACTGATGTTTATTCAGAATTAACCATAACATTCCCAATTTTGAAATGATAATTAATCTTTCCACCCTTGTAAAACTTAATTATTTATATCTTCATTGAAGGTACTATAGTTTAAAAGTTGTTGTGTACTTGCCATAAAATTTTAATTCATTTTAAGATTGAAGTCTGGATTTTTTAAAGACCTAAAACATGATTTGTGGTAGCGTAGACGTGGGCACAATAATAGGGGATTATTCTAAAGAAAAATTTGTACATTGTAAAACTCTACGTACAGCATGATGCAAAAATCTCATTTTTCTCCACATCACCTATATATGGCTTTTAAAAAAACTTACTATATTTATGTTCATTTTATGGATACTGGACAGTTAAGTCAGTTGAATTATATAAGTCACTGTAAATAGACTGTCCAATTCCTTAGAACATGCTTTTACTTATGTTATGATCTAATGGTCAACACTGTGCAATCAAGTATAGTGCAATTCAAAAATAGCACAATGAAAATAAAACCTAAGTTTTGCAATATTACAAAAGAGTCCACAGCTGTTATGTACAGAAACTGAAGTGACTTTTGTTCGCTAATTTGTTTTCCTAGCTACAGAACTCTAAATATTTCTCTTTAAAATAAATGGCATGGAATAACAGCATGAATCTACTACCCAATGCAGATTAGACACTACATTTGTTAAGTTTCTGCATAACATGTTGTGATGATGGAACAAGAGGACCCTTTGTCAGAGTGGAAGGTAAAGATCCGTCTAGTACAGTGGTCACTATTTCACAGGAAGTATGGTTGACTGCTATTTTTAGTTTAACAGAATTTCTCAGTTGCAACCTGCCACAGAAGATTACGTATATGATTTCAGAGCTGCACAAGACTGCTTTTCCTATACACACTACCAGCATTTCTTAAAGAATGCATGTTCTCTACTGCTAGAAAACTCCTATGTCATTTAAGGTACTTAGATATACATTTTTATACAAGAATATAATCTAAAACAATGCTGATGAACATACTAAATCACTCTAAAGATGTCCAGTTTAAACACATCAGAACAAAGTACAGTCTTTTAGAATATTCAGAAATGTAAGCTACTTTGGAGGCTTTTTTGGTTTAGTACAGATGTTGATTTTTCAAGACACCCATCCTCGTCTTGTAATTAGTTCTCCTCCAAATGTATTGGAGGGCAGAAACAGCCCTTATTCAATTCACGTTTTCATCAGAAAAGGGATGACTTTTGAGCTTTATCAAAGTATCAAGAAAGCATATTAGCCAATCAAGATAAAAAGGAAGAACTGCAACTGTGACAGCTGTGAAAGATTTATGTTCAGTGTATATGAACAAGAAGGCTGAAGTAATAGCTACAAAATAAGAGTCCAATTGTTCTGTGTGAAGAATCCCTTTTCTCAAAACATTGTTCTCAAAAATATACAAATCCCTCCATTTAAATATCCATCCCCAGCTTTCCTATCAGAAACATACTCCATTGTTTGCCCATTGATCCCTTCATGTATCATCCTTTGAATACAGACAACTACTCCACTGATTTCAAAATTTACATTATTTTAGTGAAAAGTATAGCTAAAGTCTTGAATACAAAAACGTTCTCAAAAAACTGATCTTGCAAAGTCTGGTGCAATTACTATGTCTCAAATTGAAATATGTGATGCATTCCACACAGATCTAAATATAACTTTACTAAAAAGGAATGGGGTTTCCAGTCTTTTCCCTTCTACCCAAGTAAATGAAATCTGAGATTGCCAACACCCATGATGAGCAGATGCGCCTTGAGGACCTTTGAAATCTCCACACAATGCAAGTCTAGCAGCAGCAAGGTTTACTGGTTGTCTCCTTCAACCCTTCTCTTGCGAACTGTGTCCATAAGAAAAGAGAAAATACAATTATAAAATCTGTAATAACTGTCTAAGGATCTCCACAATATCTCAACAGCTAACAGGACAATTAATACACCTCTACCCCAATATAACACGACCCGATATAACACGAATTCGGATATAACGCGGTAAAGCAGTGCTCCAGGAGGGCGGGGCTGCGCACTCCGGCAGATCAAAGCAAGTTCAATATAACGCGGTTTCACCTCTAACGTGGTAAGATTTTTTGGCTCCCGAGGACAGCGTTATATCGAGGTAGAGGTGTAGTTGTTAACCTTTTAAACCACAATTCTTTCAGCTATGTAAAATTTCATTCCAAACAGTTAATTAACATTTAGCACTATTCATCATTTCAGATTTGCTTATTAGCAACTATGAGTACCTTATTTCGATACTCATGAACAATTTAAGATTTATATGGTAAGAATTAGAGTATAATAATGTCATATCACTTGAAATTTGGTGAGCAGATTTAACAGTTATTCTTGACTTCATATGTACCATTTTCTAGCACCGTGCTTAATTATAGCTCTAATTAGGAATATACAAAAACTTCAAAACACTCTAAGACTTGGTAAAAAAAACTTTACAATATTAACACATGTTCAGTAATCTGATAATCTTCAGTCCATTATCAGAGTGAATAAATTTTCAGATCTCTTAAAACAATAAATTACACAAGGGACGAACAAAAGATTGGTGAATAAAGTTACTAAAACTCACATGCTATTTACAGTTAAAGAATATGCAGTATTGACTGAATGATTGGAGTACGCTTAATGTTTAAAGTAAAACCCTGATGTTCTACGTAGCGTATAAGTGAAATAAGCAGTTTGTCTTGCATTTTCTCTTTCCTGATCAAATTAACTTCTTTTTTGAGTAGATATAGTGGATTTGAAAGTGGATTAAGAGTTTTAAAAGCCTCAGGTTAGATAGGATGTTTCCACATTATTTTTTTAAATTAGAAGTTACTATATATTTGCAGAAAACCAACCAAATATTAACAGTGGTTTAAATACTTAATCACATGATATATTAATAAAAAATATAAATGTACTTGTTACATTTTTATATAAACCAAGTTGTCTGTCTTCAGCTTTGGTTCAAATTAATGAACTGAAAAGTTTTAATGCTATATTGTAAAATCAGAGTGGGATAATCATTTTTCACTGCTAGAAAAGATACTCCACTGATGCTCGAATATGGAGTTTACAAGTTTTAGTACTTACAGAGACCTACCATTAAAGTCTAAAATGTACTACTCATTTAAAAAGTAACCTATAAATATTTAAACTGTTGCATTCTTAGGCTCTCTCTTACACTCTTCTCCATTTTTTTAGTTTGATCGCAAAAGTAGATGAAGTGGTTCATACTGCTGGGCCTTCTCACTGTAGTCCAATCATGCAGTTAGAAATAAATTGGCACAGGGTCTCAGGCAAACAAGAACAGGGGTGCAGGGCAGCATGAGAGAAACATGGGGAGAAAAGATGTAGACAATTTGTCAGAAGAAACGTACAAAGACAGTGATGTGAGACTAAACATTTCAGTTTCAGTGCTCAATACCCAACTGGGTATTCACAATAACCTGTCTCTGTAGCTTCAGGGCTGGAGAGATGAAAAGGCTTTTGCAGAAAATTTTACTCGTATACTCCAGACTAAGAAAGCAAGAAAAAAAAGGCAAGATATCAATAGAAAACATAGAAATAGATTTTCAGCAATTAAATGCTAAAATCAGAACTGGTGAAAAACAGGAAAGTTCACAACTAGCAGAGAAGCACTTGAAATATGATGATACAAGAGAAAAGATCAAATCAATTGTTCTCAAATGTAGACCATTTCAGAGGTAGCTACATAGTATGTCAGGTGCCTTCATGCTCCCGTCAAATGATATCTTTCCTCCTCTTCCTCTCACCCTGGCCTTTCACAGCTGCTCATCTTCCCCACAGACAGCTTTCCTCAATGGGAGCCCCTGGACCCTATCACCAGCCTCTCAAACCTCAGGCCTCTGCTCTCAACAGGTCCCCCACTAAGCTTCTTTGGACCCTTGGAAACTATTCTGGCAAGCACCTGCCCCACTTCCTGTCCTGAAGAGATACCCCTCCTGAACCATGGGGTGTGTGGATGCGTAACCAGAAAGAGGAACCACTTAGTAAGGGGAAAAAAGTAAAAAAGGTAATTCTATTTAATGTGGGGAATTTAGTTATTTAGCTGGAGGCTTTAGTGTAGGTATATATAATGCATTACCTGAGTTCTTATATTATGTTCATAACTAAGCTGCCTCATTCAGTTGGCCACATCTGTGGTGATGAGTCCTGGCACCCTGGCAACAGGGATTAATTTAGTCTCTCCACTGGCCTCCCAGTTCACAGTGGCTGCAAGATAAGGGATATGCCCTTTACTTGAAATTAGGCAACTATCCACTATCCCAAGTCAATGGGTTTGGATGATCAAGTAACAGGGTTCTTGTTCATTTTCCCTATTTTGCATGTCAGAACAAAGCCACCATCAGAAGTATTCTTCATCCTTTTGGAATCCAGGCGCTAACACCTTCCAGAAGAGACAAGGAAAGTTGATTTTTTTAAAAATTAGTAATTTCAATGTATCCTTTAAAGAAATACTGAATCTTATCCAGGGCAAAGCCAAATGTATATGAAACTATAAGGCATGTTCTGCTTATGTCTTGTCTGGAATTCTTATTTTTTCTAGTTTTAGAGAATACTGAAGAATTCTGGACTCTAGTCTGGGAGCCTGTGAAAACTGAATAAAAGGGGGAAATTAAGAGAGGAAAAAAAGTAGGAGAGTAGGACTCAAAGTAAAGGAGAAAACTGGAATAGAGTTGTGTGTATCAGGGGCATGTCATAATTAAAACACAAAGCAAAAACACTATCTGTGCCATTAGTTCATTCAACAGTCTACCAGAGAGGTCTTACCCAAATCATTATTTTTTGTGATAGCTGCAGCTGCCCTGGTTCGCGGTCCCTGTTGTGTGAAATGGTATCCAACTTTAAGGATATTTGTGTTCTCCTCAAGCATTTTGGCAATTTCCATTTCTACAGGTTGTCCCAACTGCTGCCTCTGTTAACAAACATTACAACTTCAATATATTCATATTCATTTCCTACAAAAACCTAGAATATTTTTAGTATACTTAGGTGACAAGTAGTCCTCTTCACATCTACTGATTTGAAAGACATGACAAGTTCAGACTACTGGTCTCTCTCTATTTTAAGCACCAATCACCAAATTAACTTGGCACCAATTTCAAATGGATACCTATTTGAATTTTAAATCAAACTTATGAAGCTCCCCATCCTCATACCCCTCAGTTAGTTATACGCCTTTCTTCTCCTTCCAATTGTTGGCTCCCTCTATATTTTATTGTCTGAGGCCTATCTGCTGGCCCTAATGATGGCACTCTTGCAAGTTTCTCCACACTCTTGGGTTTCCTAAAAGGTACTGTGCATCCTGGAGCACAGCAAACTGAGTAGCATTCTGGGGCTTTCAAGTCTGTAGCATCTAGTAAGATTCTAGTAGCTAGAGAGACATTTCTGGACCTGCTAGACTAACATTGTAAAGGTAAAATGGAGCAGAAAAAAATTACTCAACCCAGCATGAGAGTTCAGTTAAAGGGGTTTATGTAGACTCACCCATTAAAAGCAAGTTTTCCCCCTCTGCCACCACAGAGTAAGAGCAATCAGTTGTTTAACAAATTCTGTGAAATAACCAGAATCTCTCAGTGTTTAGTTAGAACACTAAGTGAATCTGGCAAGAAAGTATGTCAACAAAATTTTAAGAAGCAAAAAAGACTGACTACTTCCATTAAGATGCAAAAAAGAGGTCGCACATATCAAATTATGTTTTTCTGTTGTAGTAACATGTTTCAAGTACAAGACTGCCTAGGTACATGGACCGTTGTGGGCTAAAACTCTTTTCACACAGAAACTGCAGAATATACTCTACAGTTAAAGTCTTTATATTGCTTATTAGTTAAACAAGCTAGTTTACTCATTTTAAAGTACATCAGCAGCATCTTAAACTGAATATTTAGGAATATTTCGTTCTTTTTATTCCAAGCAATGGAATCTACAGGGCAGTTAACCTAAATTTTCCATGCTCCTCACTTGAGAATGTCAAGCCCAGCAGTTACCCAAAAGGGAAGTCTATTCTTAAATGAATAGAACTATAACTATATAGAAATCATAGAAATGTAGGGCTGGAAGGGACCTCAACAGGTCATCTAGTCCAATGCCCCCGTCATACACAGACCATCCCTGACAGGAGCTTGTCTAACCTGTTCTTAAAAAACCTCAAATGATAGGGATTCCAGAACCTCCTTAGGTAACCCGTTTTGGAGAGGCTTAAGAGTCCCTTGGCAATTCTCCCTCAGAACGGGAATAAGCCCCATCTCTTGCTCTGACATCTGAGGATCTCTCTAGACGAGGATAAAAAGGTCTGGTTTTAAAACACGTTAGCAAACATTTAAAAACCCTAGGATAGACGTGGCATGTTGTATTTTAACATGTCTTAGCTGGTCAGAGTGAACCATAGATTTCCTCTCCCCTCCCCCTAGTGTTCACCTTGACCAGCTGAGCTAGCACATGTTAAAAACAGGCTTTGACCCGTGCGCTCTACATCCTGTGCAGTGGGATGGCTCTCTAAAGTATCCTGACCCACCCCACTGGAAGGTAGAGAGGGAAGCTGTGTGACATGATAATGCCTGTCAAGCCCAGCCTTCTTCCATTTCATCCTGTGTTTTAAAGGCATCTCTCAGCTACTTTAAATATTGCTGATTTCCCCCCCCCCCTTTTAATCTTTTTATTTTGGGTGGTCAGGGGGATTTCCACCTAGCCAGCTGTGATCTCCACCAGACAGTTAAGGTTTTTAAAATATTGTACACATACTATTTTTATCTTCCCCCATCCTTAATCACCATATAAACTACATAGAAATAGAACATTTATTTTTCATGGGTTCATCTCTTCCTGCTCTATTTTAAATCCTAATTCTTCATTTTCAATATCCCCACTGCTTGCTCGGGAAACAATTTGAATGATAAAAATTAATTAATAAAGTGATGAAACAAGCAGCCCATCGTTTCCCAAGAGGTATTTAGTCTGCCTTCTTCAATGGATGGAAGTGTCCGGTAGAGAAAAGCATAGGAAGAGACTAACATTTACATAGGTACAAAACTGTTTTGTTTTTAATTAAAATATTTTTGAAAGTGTCATGAATCAGCAGCTGTTTTCTCCAAGGTGGGTCAGTTAGAGTAAACAGAGTGAGAGCACAAGTAATTCAGCTATAATCCTATTATAGCTTCACTTACCTGGTTATCGATTCTGATCTCTGCCAGGGTTTCATTCTCTTTTAGTGCATCAATCAGTGCCATAATGCCAACCCCAGTGATGAAATTTGATTCTATATTTAGACTTTTCAATTTTTTGTTCACTCTCAGCATATCTGCAAAAGCCTTGAAAAGCAGGAAAAAGTAATGAAAATTAAATAGCAAATTGTACTACAGTAAACGTAACATACAGGACCAGCTGGAGCTATGCCAATTTACACCATCTGTGGACGTGGCCCAAAATCGGCAACACTTTATAGGTTCTTAATGTAATTTCACAGCCTTTTATCGTTCATTTGAGACTGGGGAGAGAATCTTTAATCACCCTTTTCCAATGCAAACAAGTTTTCATTTGTATAGTACACAATTAGGAAAGAGCCTGCATCTTACACTTGTTGCAAACTAAAAACCTTCACAGAATATAAATTGTCTCTAATTAGCACGTTGGCCCAAATCCACTTTATAAGCCTTTGCAGAAAACCCTTCACGGCACACAATGCTAAAAATTAACTGACTTCTTGTTTGCTAGCAGGTGAATTAGATTTGAGTGATGTAGAGCCAGGAGATTTGATTTCCAAAATACTAATAATCTCTGCCCATTTGATCATATAAAATACAAAAGACCTGCTTTTAGTCACCAATACCCAATAAAATACATGTAATTAGAACTGGCTAGAAAATGCCATTTTGAAAAAATTAAACTTTTTTTTAACATTTAACATAAATGCATTCCACGGGAATGCATTTATTTTGACAAAATTTCAAGTAGAAAAAATTGAAACAGAATTTCAATAGGGTCAAAACATTTTATTACATTAAGTTAAACCGTAGTGAATTAGGACCTCCAGGGTACATTGTATTAAAAATGGAGTTGTGTATGTGTTATTGTGGAATTGTATGCAAGTCCTCTAGGAAGAGGGGGATGCTAATGTAATTCCTCCAGTTATCAGCCCTTGGAAGCCACCTCCCCCCAGAAGTAGACATATACTAGTTCAAATTGGATTCTCCAGGGACCAGACAGACAAATAAATGTTTTTTTTGGACAAGTAGCATGGACAGGCCTTCTTCCTGATCCAGCAAATGGACAGGACTGCTGGCCCATGGGGGTCCCAAATCCTTAGTGAAGAGTTGGCAGGACTGGTCCTACTGAGGCCCCATAAGACTGTGTGCTTGTTCTGAGTTGAAGCTGTGATGAATGTTGAAACCACAAGGAAACCACTTGGGTGAAGTTCTGAAGGACTGCTCCTGCAATAGTCCATGTTGGAAGGGGTGATCTTGGTAAGCTTATTAGCATGCATGTAGATTCTTTATTTATTTTTAATACGTTTTCTCTGTAGTGCTTTTACCTTAAGGATAAAATAGGCTTGCATTGGAAGTGCTGTATGGTACTTATAACTGTGGGAAATTACTGTTATTAGTCCCTGAAGAGAAAGTAAGCAGGCCTGCTTAGCCAGAGTCTCTTGCTGGGATATCCCAGTATAGTCAGATGTATACGCAGCTTGGAAATACTACGGTTAAAAAGGAGTACAATGTGTGTCTCCTCTCAAGAGAGATGACAGCCAGGGGAGCCGGAAGCCTAGAGTGGAGCCTTTTGCTGGACCAAAGAGGAGGAATACAGGTGTAGCTGCCCTGAACTGTGACATCTTAACACAATGGTTCTTCAAACTGAGGCCTGCATACACCACAGGTCCAGGGAATGAAATTGACAACTAAGCAGTGGTGGACTGGTTGTTGGGAGGGGAGGAGGTCCGCATGAGGCTCTCTCACAAAGTGGTCTAGAATGAAAGAGTTGAAGAACCACTTCCATTCACCTAGTAGTTTTAACGCAGTGTTGCTGTAGCCGTGTCAGTCCCAGGATTTCAGAGAGACAAGGTGGGTGAGGCAGTATCTTTTACTGGAGAAGTTGGTCCAATAAAATATATTATCTCACCCACCTTGTGTCTCTAGTAGGTGCTTTCAGAAAGCTTCTTTAACTTCAGGGTGTAAGGAGAAAAAATTGTTTTCATCCTCTAGATTACCAGGATGTTTAAACAGCTTTCAGTTCAAATCAACCCCACTTCCCAACCCACAAAAGGAGCCTACTTACAACAGCAACAGGGTCATTGCTTCGAGTGGCTGCAAGGCTGAAACTCTTCACATGGGTGTTGTTTTCCAAAGCCTTAGCAAATTCTTTCAATGTTGGAATTGGGATGTTCTTGAATTAAAAATAAATATTCATGTTTTGTACATTACATTATATCCATTACAATGAATTTTTTCTACTCAGCTCCTCCCCATTATTGTCATTTTTCTACAGAGAAATATACTGGGCTACCAGTTCTCCCTTACTGGTATCAATAACCAAGTCCCACAGCACAGGATTGGATGTGGATGAAGGGCAAAAATCATAAGCTCGACTCTTTGCCTTTTAAAATCACCTATACGCTATCTTTACTGTACTCAAGCCTGTACCACATTAGAATTAGACTAGAATACCTTGATCTGTAAAAGCTACCAGAACAAGAAAAAGTGTACAAATTGAATATTCTACTACATGTCTGTCTGCATATTAATCAGTATCTCATTAAATTCTTCATATTTCACAATCTGAGAAACACTAATGAGAAAATGGAATTAATAAATGGAAATTACTTCTGAACACTAAGTAGAGCCAATTACTGAAGTGTAGTTAACTCTGTTCTGTTATACTAATTCAGGAACAACTGCTAATTTAGAGTTAGAAGTATGGTTTGGTGTACTAAAACTGAATGGAATGATTTTGGTCTGACACTGCTAAGAAATTTGCAACTCATTTTGTGTACAATACATTTGTACATTTTACAGGTGTGTATAATGCCAGGGGGCTATGTCTGATATAGTGTACAAAATTCCCTCATCCAATTTTCTGCTCTTAGTGGAAGCAATAAGAAACCTGGGTTATTTATTGCTTGCCAAAAATGTTATGATTCCGTTCTGATTTATCTGAACAAGTGAAAAAAAACAAAACCGATTCTATTTTAATCTTCTTTAAAAGTTTGACAGCCACATTTATGACTAGAAATAACCATAACTACCACCAGCATCTTTTCTATGACAACACAGTAAGATTCTATATACAAACATCACTCTGTTTCTAATAACCATAATTGATAACACTCCTCCATGAACAGAATTAAATAAAAAATGTAATTCAAAGTTTCTGATTTGAGATCACATATACCACACGTTTATTGGAAAAGTTGCTGCATTTACAAATTAGCCTATCAAAGACAGTTTTAGAAGTACACAACTCAAGACAAAGATTGGATTATTTATTTTTAGAGAGATGCTCTAGAGCAGTGGTCTCCAATCTTTTTACGCACAAGATCACTTTCTGAATTTAAGATCAACCCAGGATCTACCCTGCCCCTTCCCCGAGGCCCCGCCCCGCTCACTGCATTCCCCCCTCCCTCTGTTGCTCGCTCTCCCCCACCCTCACTCGCTTTCACCGGGCTGGGACATGGGGTTGGGGTGCAGGAAGGCCTGAAGGCTCTGGGCTGGGGTTGAGGGGTTCAGAGTGTGGGAGGGGGCTCCGGGCTGGGGCAGGGGTTGGGGTGTAGGAGTGAGGGGTGAAAGCTCTGGGAGGGAGTTTGGGTGCAGGAGTGGGCTCCGGGCTGGGGTGAGAGGTGCAGGCTCCGGCTGGGAGGCACTTACCACAGGCGGCTCCCGGACAGCAGCGCAGCAGGGCTCAGGCAGGCTGCCTGCCTGCCTGCCCTGGCCCCACGCCACTCCCGGAAGTGGCTAGCTGCTGGCACGTCTCTGCGGGCCCTGGGGGGTGGCAGCAGGTCTCCGTGCACTGCCCACGCCGCCCCTGCAGCTCCCATTGGCCATTTCCCAGCCAATGGGAGCTATGGGGACAGTGCTGGGGGCAGAGACGTGCCAGCAGCCAGCTGCTTCCGGGAGCGGCGTGGGGCCAGGGCAGGCAGGCAGCCTGCCTGAGCCCCACTGCGCTGCCAGACTTTTAGCAGCCAGCGATCACGATCGACTAGCAGAGACTCCAGGATCGACCAGTCGATTGCGATCGACCTGTTGGTGGACCACTGCTCTAGATCAAAAGAAATTATTTTGGGGAAGCCCTATGGCTTGTGTTACACAGGAGGTCAGTCAAGCTGATCACAATGGCCTTGGAATCCATGTACCTATAAAAGCCACATTGAAAAGTTATTTTTAGGTGAGAAAAACAATGCAGTTATTGTAGCCTCCCAACAATTACCTTTATATTGTTCAAATTAACTTCAACAAGACGAGAGTCATTATCTTTAATCCTTTGCAAACTCTCCTCTACATGTGTGGGATTTGGTGGTTCATCTAAAAATGGTATCGTCCTTTCACCTTTTACTATGTCTGAAATGTAAGACAAGGAACATGAATCGGACACATTAAGTGTAATAAATGGTACACATACTAGTTATTACATCTAGTCAACTAGTCATCTGCCAAAAACTTTTATCCTCTGTCCATCCTGCCAAAAACCAAGCAACATCACACCACGCTGTCCTCTTTTGGCCATATTTTCACACAGTAACTTTTTTTTTTTTTTTTAATTATTTCTTTCTTCCTACCACAACAGTTTTTTTAAAAACAGATAGGAATTGGATTACAAAAGAAAATATTAAACCCCAGACTCAATCACAAATAAAATACATGTTCATTCATTCCACTTTTACAAAAGGTGAGTATATTTTATCTCTTTTTATTAATTTCTACCCTTTTCACAGCTCATCTAACAATTTAATATTTTATGTACAAGCTTACTTGGAAATGAAATGCTTTTTCTGTATCAAGAATATAAGCGTAACGTATTACATAGCTTATGCTGCAGTAGCAAAATGACTGGATACTTGGGATTGCACACAGGTTTTTATTTAGATTTTGACTATAAATACTCACCTGTGAAGCTTTCATTGCTGACACCATTACTACTTCCTACTATGTCACAGAACTGAGTGTTTGTTATCAAGTTGTGCATTCCCAGGATAGCTGTAAGAGAAGAATTTTTAGTGTTCCCTGCTGTTTAAGTTCAGAAGCTGAAGAATATTTGAGAGATTAATAATTGCATCTGGTTGGAAAATGTCAGCTGTTCAATGAAAAGTGTTTACCATTTTCTTACTAATTCTAATAATTTAAAGCCATTAAGAGCTTTCTTACTTCTATTTGGCCTGCCCCTTTTCAAAACAGCCATCAAAATCCCACCAATAGACATCATACACCACAGTCAAGTGTGCAGTTCAACTCACATATAACAGATGCACATAATTACATTGTTTGCTGCTTTATCAGTCTAAAGCTAGTTTTACAAGGCATATGGCACCACGTTCCCACATTTGAGGAAGGGGCAGCTTTTTTTGAGTAAATGTGTGCTACATCCCTTCCTCAAATGAGGGAACGTGGAAGGGATGTAGCACACATTTACTCAAAAAAAGCTGCTAGTTTGGGGGAGATCTTGCTTAACCCATTTCTTACTTCTTCAGACCCCAAAACAATAAAATGGTGAAATATTTTGTATGGGGGGAGATAATTTGTGCAATGCTTTTTCTACAAACCTCCAACAACCTGTAACATGACATGGTTCAGTTTCTAAGACAACTAGACTTCATGAAGCAGTAAAGACCTTCAGTCTTTGCCAGGTTTCAGGTGACAAAGATACAGTAATATTTACTACAGAGGATCAGGCTTTTATGAATATGCACAAACACAACCATGCTTTAAAAACTAACCTGCAAGGTCACACAGTTCTGTATCTGTGGCACTTGTCAAAGCTTCCTCCAGTTCTGGATCAAGAAACACTTTTTCTTCCATGAAAGACTGTACAGGCTTCTGCTTGGGGATAAATATTTTTCCTGTGTGTAGGGGAGAAATAAAGAGTCTGAAATCCCTTTGTATTCAGTTTTACTCATCTCACTACATTACATATATACACACACACACACACACACAAGTTTAGCTCTCCAGCCTGAACTACTGCCTTATAAAAACAAGCATGAACTGTCACTAGCTAGAAGACTGAAATCAGCCCACCAAACCCAACAATGCTAATGGCAAAGGGGCTGATTTTGTCAAGTATGCTGGAATTAATTTCTGCCTAATTTGTTTTTGGAGAGGTGGTGATGAGAAAGAGGGTGTGACGAGGGGAATACAAGCATGAAGATCTCGCATTGTAAGTAATGTGGTATCCCAACCCTCAATATTCATCTTTTAAAGCAAGATAAATATTTGCTAAATATTTTGTTTTCCATTTATATTAAGTTTTCTCTACATGCACTTCTCTAGTAGTGCTTCAGGATTTACAGTGACTGATATCACTAACTGCACCAGGAGAGACCACTACCTGGAAGAGTTTTAACTTAGACTCATCAGGTAGGAGAGATACCAAACCTTGTCTGACGTTTCAGATTAAAATGTATTCATTTTATTTTTAGTGATACACCCAAAATCAGAAGCAGAATGCGTAAGGGCTTTAAAATGAAAAAAGCCCCTACCTGAGCAGTCCAAACCAAGGGCAACGTACGTGAATAGCATCTGAAGAAACTGAAAAGGCAAACTAAATTCGATAGATATTTTCATACTCAAGGATGCTCTTTTCTAAACTGGGTAGGCCTGGTAGCAGGGTCAATGAAAATACACTGGAGTTAGAATAAGCAACTACTGATAGCACACTAAGTTTCTCAATTATTGCAGACAGAAGATGGGAGAAGTTATTTTTAGAGGACATGCAGTAAAAATAGTACCCTGGGTAGTTCACATAGTACTTTGCATACATCAGTAGTTGACAAGTCAATCTAAGAAATCGAAGAATACAGCAACTCTTATTCTAGCATTTATCTTGGAGAAACTTCAGACTTTCAAAGATTTAGGGCTTGATTTTTCAGAAGCACTGAGTACCCATAACTCCAAATGAAGTTAATGAGAGCTGTGGAGGCTCAATTCCCTGGAAAACGAGGCCGCTAGGCACAAATGGATATTGTAAGCAAAAGTTGATATTCCTTACCAACAGCCATAAAGTTTATTTACTGTGTAAGTGATGAATACCCCATTGTTGCAAAAGCACAATGTATGCTAAGAGTTCAAGCTTAAAGAGGCAGTCAACTTTAAATAAAAAAGGAATTTCTATTTGAACTTCTCTACTCCTGTTTCAAGTTACACCTAAAATGACTAATTGCAAAAGGGACTAGAGACTGAAATCATTTTTTCAGTTTGTTTACTCTGTACAGTCAACAGCAGAGTATGGTCAATTCCCACTGTTTCCTGTATACATGGGTCTTTCACAAAGCAAGAGAGAAGAAAAATAAGATGGGATTGTGCTGAACAAAGTTACCTACAACTTGAAGCTTTCATTTGTATTAGCTAAGATAATAACTAAAAGCCTTTTTTGGCTGTCAGAAAGTTGGCTCCCACCTACAAATATGCCAGGAAAGACTAATGGTCACTCTACATCTCTAGAGGCCAGTTACACAGCTTAATACTTTCACAGAGTTAAAACAAAATGTTTCTTAAAATGTTGGAGATGTTTGTTTTTACCTTTTACCAAAACACAAACAAAAACAAATAAACCTGCTCATTCTTTAAGTTAAGCCTGAATTGTTTTTCACTGAATGAATCAGTTTCAGATCACTGAGCAAGAAAAAAAAAATACACACCCAAAGGCAATGAGAGCCTTGGGAACATGACATTTGAGGCTGCAGAGGCTAAAGCTCTCATTAATATGCCTAATTCGACTCACCACTATTTAATATAGACATTCATTTAATTTCCTGGAGTTAAGTGAAAAAGGAAACAAACATACTTTAAAACATAATAGTGATTTGTTACGTGCCTTCAGTGACATTTTCCCCCTTCTAACAAACCTGAAATCACTATTAAAAACTAGTACTAGAGTAGATATCGCTAAAATTTATATAACTTTACTTTTAAAACTTAACAAGATCATATTTCCTTACTACTGAAACAATTATGGAAAAAACATGAAGGCAATTAATATTGGTAGAATATGTGAAGTTCTGACCATCCATTCCCCTCCTTTCAGCCCAAAGGAGGGTTTCATTGTGTGGGACCACTTATTTATGGTTAAGGACACGATTTAGTCATGGAGGACATGGATTCTGTGACTTTACCGGGCCTCCGTGACTTCGGCTTCAGCTGTCAGCAGGTGCAGCGATGCCGGGGCTGTGCACCCTGTCCCCATGGCTTTGGCCAGAGGCCAGAGCCATGTGCCCCACTGCCAGTCCCCTGCCCCACAGCTTCAGCCAGAGCTGGACTGTGCACCCTCGCCCCACAGCTTCAGCCAGCCCAGTGGCTGTGTGCCCCCTCCTTGCCACTTTGGCAGGAGCTGTTCATACCCATCCTGCACCCCCGCAGTGGGGTTGGGGCTGTCAGTCCCCTCCTCGGGCTGTCATTCCTTCCTCCTCCTCCCCCCCCCCCCCCCCGGTAATTTTAGTAAAAGTCAGGGACAGACAATAAACAAAAATTCACAGAGCCGTGACCTGTCCCTGACTTTTACTAAAAATAACTGTGAAAAAATCTTAACCTTCGGGCTTGTCTACACTGGCAATTTACAGCGCTGCAACTTTCTCGCTCAGGGGTGTGAAAAAACACCCCCCTGAAAGCGCCAGTGTAGCTGGTAACTACGCCCCGGTGCAGGTGGGTTTTTTTTTTTTTTTTTTAAGAGCGCTGGGAGAAAGTTCGCTGTGCTGGGACCACACAAGCCACATTAAAGCGCTTAGACTAGCCCTTAATCACTGCTAACTACAAGGTGGAACAGATTGTTTAGCAGAAGTAGTTAACACATATTTCAAGGGACCATTCAAGGTGAAGTGGCCCATTATCACCACTAGTCACAGGCAGAAAAGGAAGGGGAGGGGGAGGAAAAAAGCAGTTTGGGGAAGGAGGAGTTGGTAGTGCAGGGGTGGGCAAACTTTTGGCCCAAGGGCCACATCTGGGTATTGAAATTGTATGGCGGGCCATAAATGCTCACAAAATTGAGGTTGGGGTGCAGAAGCGAGTGAGGGCTCTGGCTGGGAGTGCGGGGTCTAGGGTGGGGCCAGAAATTAGGAGTTCAGGGTGCAGGAGGGGGCTCCAGGCTGGGGCAGGGGGCTGGGGTGCGGGGGGAGGGGGAGGGCTCTGGCTGGGGGTGCAGGCTCTGGGGTGGGGCTGGGGATGAGGGGTTTGGGGTGCAGGAAGCTGCTCCAGGCTGGGATCAAGAGGTTCGGAGGGCAGGAGGGGGATCAGGGCTGGGGCAGGGGGTTGGGGCACGGGAGGAGGTCGGGGGGCAGGCTCTGGGCGGTGCTTACCTCAAGCAGCTCCCGGAAGCAGCGGCATGTCTCCTCTCCAGCTCCTATGCAGAGGCGCGGCCAAGCGGCTCTGCAGACACCGCCCCTGCAGCTCCCATTGGCAGCAACTCCCGGTCAATGGGAGCTGCGAGAGCTGTGCTTGGGGCGGGGGCAGCGCACGGAGCCCCCTGGCTGCCCCTTAACGTAGGAGCCAGAGGGGGGACATGCCACTGCTTCCAGGAGCCATGCGGAGTTGCGGCATGCGCATGTGGAGCGGCCTCCGACCCTCGGCTGGAGCCCCAGACCCCGCTCCCCAGCAGGAGCTGACGGGCTGGATTAAATCGGCTGGCAGGCTGAATGTGGCCCACGGGCTGCAGTTTGCCCACCCCTGTGTTAGTGGGTTACAGATTGCTGTAATATGCCATAAATCTAGTGTGTGTATTCAGTCCATGACTTTTAGTGTCCAGCAAAGTTATGAATTTAAGCTTGTGGTTCTGTATCTATATGTGCTAATATTGTAGTATAAGTAATTGAGCAGGTGGCACTCTTTAATGTCTCAGCAGAATGAACGGGGACTGTGTGCTGCTAATATTGTAGTTTTTCCAGAAAAGACATAAAACAGAAATCATGACTATGGAATTTTCCTCACATCACAGAAAGAGGAAAGAGAAAACTCTGATGTCCTGGCCACACTGCTGTTTAGGTTACTAAATTCTGCCTACTGCACCTAAATGTCCTTTGCTGATGTGAAGAATAATAGTATTTAATCCTGAGTCTTAAACTCTTGTGTGAGGTTGCTATGCTGCGTTCAACAGCTGCCATCTTCCACCCTAGAAGGTTTATCTACATTGCTTTAGGGATTCTTCAGGATGTAAAGTGCAAAAGCAAAGTATTTTATGATTCTGCACACTCTAAATCCCCCTTCTGCAAACAGAGTGATTATGTAGCTCTGTGGTGTCCAAAACACTAGTCCTCTACTAAATAAAAACTCACAGCTGCTAATTTTCTAGTCACTCTTATTGCAAAGGACATTAGGTCCTTTGCAACTGCTACAATACTATTCACATTAACATCCAAATTCAGAACTTAATTATGACCATTTCAATATTGTTTTAGGTAAACCCACCATAAAAAATCTCAATTCCACATTAGCAATATGTGCCTAATTCAGTATTCTCATCTAAAACATTCTTTTTTCAGATTCCTCAGCCATGCTAGCTAGTCCAAGCTCCACTGCGACAGACCAACATGCACCAGGGGCAGGCTAGCTAGGTCACAAGCCAATCATCTGAGATATTTTCCTCATTTTGAATATAAATATTTGTAACTTGCTGTTTGGATTGAGACTAAGTTTAGAATTTTTAAATATCTCAGTGACATGGGACTTTATTGGTGTGTTTTTGCTTTGAATTTTGGGATGTTTAAACAACTTTGGTTTTAAAATTCAGAATCTAATGCATGAAGACAGAATCCACATGCTACAGTGAACACAGGCAGCAATAAAACCCCCACAAACGGTTATGGTTGTTTGTTGTGCTCTCTATAATGCATTGATGCAGCACCACAGCAACAGA